TGTCATCACAGATGCAACACAGAAGTGGACAGGACACAATTATCAACTTGGGTGTTCACACACCAGGTTTGCTGTCCATGGTATCCATGTCAAAATTATGGTAAGGCACAGGAGAGATAAACACTTGAGAGACCTGTACATTGATAGGAAGATAATATTAAAACTGATTTTAAAGAAAGGGTTTCAGGATGTGGAATGGATTCGCCTGTCTTAGGACAGGGTCCACTAGCAGGCTCTTGTGTACCTTCTGAGTTGTATGTAAGGATGCAAATTTCTCGAGTGGCTGAGCTGAGGTCCAAAGTGCAGCTCTTCTACATATGCTGATTTTACAACAATTCAGTATCTCACACTTTACACCCAATCTTGTGTAGCCAATATATGGTTTCTTCCTCAGTAAAAAACTGAAATGCAGGATATTGCACCATTTAGACTATTAGGTACTGACTGAAATTTCACAGGAGCTTACTGCCTCTGAACCAGAACAGATTACAGTAGACCTCCGATTATCCAGGGGTGTCTGGTTTAAATTAATAAAAGAAAAACTACTTTCAAAAATCTGCTGTAAAAGTTAGAATATTTGAAGGAAAGGAATAAATATATCAATGGCATATTATTTACTGTATTAACATAAATTGTTGCTAAAACCTGAAGTTTACAACAATATCATTACTATCTGTTGAATTACTTTTCAGAGAACAGTTTATGTACTGTATTAAATTTTATATTAAATCCTATTAGTATATCTTTAACAAATGTATGTCGTGTATGTTTGTAAGTAAACTTACATAGTCGTTGCATTTGCATGTTTTTTTCATGTTTGCGGATTATCCAGGAAATACTGTATCTTTCATTCTAAGAACATGATATTTCTCACAAATGGCAATCTTTCAGTGAGGAACTTTAAGATCAAGTTAAACCATTAGAAAAGATTCTGATTATTTGCTGCCTGTGCCACCAGTCACCACAGAAATTTTGGGTACTGCTTTTACATTTTCATTAATGAAATTACTCTTCAGGAGCATGAAACAGCCAAGACATACTACTAGGATAGACTTTGTTCTGCTACATTTATTAAACATACATTTAAAGAAATCTCAGTATAAATCAATGAGTAATTCTGCATAGCAGTGGATGGTTGCGAGGAGTCTTGTTATTCATATTAAAATAATGTTTGTCCTTATATTTAATTAAAACTGCAACAGACTTTGTTTTTATTCGGTATGTCCAGTGAATATAAAGGCATTTTAGTGTGGATTGGGGCCAGATATAGACCGCAAACATCAATCTTGCACTGAGGTCACTTTTTACAAATGTATTTGAGGTTTTGAATATGATGGAAGACAAAACTTTCACTTAGATAATGGCACTTCACATTTGTTCAGAACAGATGTCACTGCCTACTACAACTAGTCTCTCAGGTCTACGGATTAAAACCAGTGGCTTATCCTGAGGTATATGAAGCTTAACAATACAGATTGTGTAACTGAAGGTTCCAAAGTACAGGTATATTAAAGCAAGAATGGAACATAACTGGGTTAACTAAGATTCATTATGGTGTTCACAAGAGCATGCAACCATTCCCTATCCAGAGCCAGATGAATCAAATCAATTCCCACAAACCCTATTTCCTCATCTATTTTAATATCCTTGATCATCCTAACAATATTTCTTGAAAAAGTACATAATTTTCTCTGTCTTTAATTCTAGACCAACTTCTCCTTATTAGCATTTAAAAGAGCTTTGTTTTTCTTTCTGATTTATGTTTTTACCCACTAAATTAACAACACAAGTAACAGCACAAAATGCAGTTATATACATTTCCAGTTTTAAAAATATAACTTACATAAGTGAACATAAAATGCACATGTGAATGAATGAAATATGTTGCACTCTGCTCTTTGCATTGAGTACAAAGTCAAACACATGGACAGAGAATACTTAACAAAAAGTTCACTTATGCAAATATTAACATGTTTGCTTCAAATTCCTTATTCTGTAAATACAGTTTCTAACATCAACAAGAATTATAGGATGGTACCAAAACCCTGTTAATATAGCTGCAGTTCATGTAGATTATGAGATGAATTCTAATACTCCAATATGCTCAGCATACCACAATTCATTGTCTTAGGAGCATTGCTAATCTAGCAACCAAAACCATTCTGTATATTCTATTCTGTTCATGCCATACTGGAACCAGAAAATACTTTGCAAAATCCCTCTCCATTGCAGTTTCACTGCCCATAGCACACAAAAACTCTGTCCAACAAGGTAACGTAAAAGATTAATAAACAACATTGATTTCTGATGGAAAATTCAAGCAGGAATACAATAATCCAATCCACAGTCTTGTCCTCTTAGTACCAGAATGTGAAATTATGGTCTTTAATGATGACCAGGTTGAAAATTACTATGGTTAAATGCACAAATTCTCAAGTATCAGGCAGTATCTCTGAATCAAAGAAAGAAAACACCACAACCAACAATTCATGTAGGACCAGATCATGCAAATCAAACCTCCATAACCAACATTCTTTTATTGCTACAAGAAACTACATTATGATGACAGTTGTGAAAAATTATGAGTGCTGGCAGGTAATATGTTTCATACATGAAGACTGAATATGATATGCAGTAACAATTAAGTCTTGATAGTTGCAAATTCAACAAAAACTGCATGGTACTTTTTGTATTGTCTGTAAACACTGGCAATGATGAGCTTAAAAATTTGTACTCCTCCCCCAATATTGTCAGGGTGATTAAGTCAAGAAGAATGAAATGGATGGGGCATGTGGCATGCATGGATGGGACAAGAGGTGTGCACCGGTTATTGGTCGGGAAGAGACTGCTGGGGAGACCTAGACGTAGATGGGAGGATAATCTCAGGTGGGATCTATGGGAGATAGGAGTTGAAGGAGACTGGATTTTGTTGGCCCTTCGGGTTCTGTAAGCCATCTAGTTTGTTAGTAAACACTGGCACTGAAAAGGTAAACATGGCTTTACAATACTGAAAATGATAAAACATGAACAAAAATAATGAAATTCTTTCATTTAAAGGAAGCTTAGCATACCAATAGTAGGCACAGGATGATGCTCATTTCTCCTTCATGAAAAAATTAGAGTAATACTTGTAATTCTACAATAATTCCAAAATGGCCATGGTTCAAGTGAAACAAAGGGGGATTTAATTGAAGTTTGAAGGCTGTACTGTGTAAAATTGTTTTTTGGACTTACCCACTGTCAATGTGTTTAAAAAACTGTGGATCTTACAGCACCTAGATGATGGGTAAAGTCAAATAAAACAATTTTAAACAAGCAAGGATGTTTCACAGAGCTACTGTGTACAAAACCAAAGGCAGAATATGGAACTCACAATTCACAAAGAAAACAGGAACTCTTAATATATAACAGACCACTTGTGTTCATAAAAATCTAAAAGCTTCAGATGTTTGTATATTACAATTATTTTTATGGATTTTGTTTGTTATCTAGTGTTCCAAACAGAATTTTCCAAAACTGGACCTGTTTGAAGAGAAAAGGGAAGATGCCTACTCATTTGGGTCTCTTGGGAAGAGCTAATCTAAGGTCAGTTTCTGACAACACCTGATCACAGTTCTTTATATAGATTTATGTGACTGACTGTTCAATGACTTTAATTAGCTCTCTTTGAGACTTCATTCAGTAGGTACTTTCCACATTTTCACTGAGAACAGAAACACCCAGTTTAAAAATTACTGTGCTCTGTTCAGAATACCAGACATTAGACAAAGTCCAGGCCAAGGTATCATCTCATTTAATCTGGGAAACAAGCTCTTAACCAATACAAGGCAGTCTTAAGGTTGAAAGTAAGCATTCTTTGATAAACCAACAGGATGAAAGAAGTTCAGCACCCCTATTCTGCCAAGTGTCACTAGCCACATTTTCCCCCACAAATTATTATATTCTACCAAGAGTAGCATTCAACTGCAGAACCACTGTTTCCATAACTGTGCTTTACACAGAAATTACGGTATTAATTTGTTGTTAAAGTTAAAAATTACATATAATTACAAGAGTTAATAAAATATAACCACCAGTTTTTAAGTGGTTTTACTGCTGAAAGAAATCAACTATATACACTTCGAAGGCTTAATTGTAAACATATAAATACCAGTCCTGAGAAGGATTTGCATGAAGTTAATAATTACACAATTACAAGGATTACTATTATATAAACCAGGGGTGGCCAACCCAAATGATCTTTCGGGCCACTTTGGAAATGCATCATAACTCCGCGGGCCACATATAAAATTATATATCCCCATATTAGATTTAGA